GTGAGCACTGAACCGGCGACCATTCAATGTCATCATTGATGTCATGTGAGCATGGTGGGTGTGGTCATGTGGTTTTATAATCGCCAAAGTGTCTTGTGTTCGGTGAGTGTATAATGAAATTATGTCTCTGATCTCACAGGTATGCTGGTAGTATCTATATATCTCAATGGGAATGGAATCTCAGCTTGTGGAGACTTTTTCCGGGACACAAACCCCAGTAAGTGCTGATTTAAGAACGTTTTTAAGTTTTAAACGAACTTCTGACTGCTTTCCAAACCTAAAGAGCATTAAATAAGTAAGTTTAATGACTTTGCTCCTTGAGGATTCTCACGAATCAAAAGCAATGCAAAAGCACAAAGGAAAGAGAGAATGAAGGCAAAATCAATCCCCATAATCCAATTTGGTTTATTGTGTGTTGGCCCAAATTAACCGCGGAACATGTGTATGTGAGCGGTCTGATGTGGGAATATATATCTCTATAATTTATTGCATTTCAGCCGAGAACCCAGATCCGCTTCAATCAAATCTTTTATGTCAGAGATTAACGATTAAAGTCATTAGCAGTTAAGATCGAGATCAGTCAAACTGTTGATGTGTCCTACCAGTCAGCCAGAGATCTGAATGTATATATAGAATATATATCCATATGTGAACGAATGCTATATGGTATTTGTACAGCAGACAAAAGGCAATACAGTTCATTCTTTTATCGCTTTTGGCATTTTTAATGCGATGTCTGAGGTTGCGGGCCTGAGGTGAATCTCGATGTTGGATGTCGGATGTCGGACTCGGACTCGTACTCGGACGCCTTCAGTTGGCTTTAGGTTTATTGTTTCCCCACTCCCGACCAGGACGAATATTAAAAGGGCAGAGTTATAAAACATTAGCGCATATTAATCATTTTCCTTCGCCTTTCCGCTCGCCTCCAGAATTCCATTTATTCGTTCCCATTTCCCGCCGCAGATCTTGATGAGTTGCAGTCACTCGCCAGAGCGAAATTCAATTAAAGTTTTTGATGTAACCATTCCGGGAATAACCCGGGGTATGAGTGCATTGCTCCTCTGTATTTGATGGTTCGTGTTAGGCAGCGAGAACTGTCAAAATATTGACAGCGGCATCCGTTATGCTTTTTGCCCAAATTGATATTCTATTTTTGAACGCCACCTCTCCCTCTCCCGCTCTCGCTCCCATTCTCCGCGACTTCATTAAAAATCATGCCCCCAAATAGGGAGCAAAAATCTAAATAAATATGATGAGTATGTGGCTGAGTTAATGATGGCAGTGATGCCATAGCCACAGCCATAATGGAGACACTCTCCTCGTCTCCGCCTGACAACCTCCTGACAGTTAGCTGCAGTTTATGAATGAATTTCGTGGCTCTCGTTTCGCTCGCCGATTACTTCTAACTGTCTAGTTGTGGATTTCCACTTCCCGCCAGCTCGGAGCTTTGGCCAAATTATTAATGGAACCGGACTTGGTGGCCGGCCCTCAGCCTCCAGCCCCAGCCCCCAGCCCCCCGGCAAAAGATGGAAGCTCGATCCCATCCCATCGGATCCACAATATAGCCAAGTATCATCAATTATCGCCGTGGTTCATTCATATTCTGCCAGCGACGATCGTTGGATGTTGATCTGGTCAATCAATTTGGCTTTAACTCAGCCTAGCTCGCTCTTCCTCTATCTCTATCTCTATCTCTTCTTCTAGCCCTGACTCTGGGGTCTTGAGTCTGCGCCCAAGGGCTAGGAAAACAGACCAGGTAAAGGCTGTTGTAGGTTCAACTGCTGAAAATCGCTTTCTCACACATCGATCGAACGATCGATCGGCTTGTGGATTGACAAATTGCATTCCCTGGATTAATGATCGGCTAAATGGCATTTAATTAATTGATCTGCTGACCCCTCTCACCCCGTGTTGAAACTGTAAATTGCCGGCTAATTATATATAATTATATTCGCATTTTTTATCTGCTCGGATAGAGGTTTGGGACTAAAATTGGATGATCTACATTCACGGCGGCAATTAATTTATGCAATCAATTAATTAGTCATTAATTGTGTTTGTGTTTGTTGAATATTTTAATGATTTAAGTGTAACAAATGATAGAAAGTTGCTTGGGGATCTGCTGGATATCATTAAAAGGAGTTCCATTACTTATTTCTGTATCTTAAAAAGTAGTTTCCAGATATTAAACACTTTTCTATGATTATATTAAGAGCTTCAGAGGTGAGTTAGTAAGTCAATATCACTATATAGTTATATCCATTCCGGCTATTGATCCAGCCGCAACACTTAGTCAGCGTATCGAGTTCCTGTATCTGTGAAGTTCACACCAGCGAGACAGAGATAAAGAGCTAGGAGCGAGGAGCGGAAAGTATTTATGTCAAATGTGTAATTCCCAAATCACTTAATACTCATCAACTAATGAGGCCTAAAAGCTTCGAGCGACGACGGATGTGTTGGACAATAACAACTTCAACTAATATCCATATATCTCTCGGTTCGTGTGTCTGTTTTTTTGTTTTTCTGTTTTTTGGGCTTCGTGCGGCGGTTTCTCTATCTCATTTATTTATTTTGAAATTGTTGCGAGTACGTATTTCATTTTTTGTGCCCCAATCCCTCACTCTCCCACTCTCCACTGCCCCTTTCAGGCTTCTCTCTTTTTTCGGCTAAAACACAAAATGCAGGAAATGGACGTGTTGACAAATAAACGATGTTCCCCTGTCCAATATTTGCCAATATGTGTATCCATGAATTAAACACAAATTCACCTCGCAGGTGTATGAGTACGTTGTTAGAAAATCAAACAGGGCTTGGGTTCAGTGTGTGTGCGGGGGGAATGGGAAAATGGAAAGTTCATAATGACAGATTCGTGCTAAAAGTAACATTTTCAGATTTGATTTTAATGAACTTATTGTAAGATATTCTCCTGGTATTCCTAAAATTAAATATTTCCCTTGAATTGCTGAATATTCGTTTGGGACATTTTCAGCCCAACTCCCCTTAGATCGCAGCCACACCCCTGCTGCCTCCTCCTCCTTCACACACTCTTTGCCCCACGAATTTGACGTCGTCTCATTAGTCACATTTAAAATTGTATTTAATTACTTTCTCACTTCATCATCAGTCAAGTCGGTAGGTCGGTGGGCTGGTGGGTTGGTGGGTTGGACGACGCCTCGTCATTGGCGTTCCACTTCTGCTGGGCGGATGCCAGGGGGTGTACTCGGTAGGGTAGCCTCCCCTACAGATGCTCAGATACAGATACAGATGCAGATACGTTTACGGATATAGCTACAGATACATGCCACAGCGTTCGCCGCTTGTTTGTTTCGCAGACAGGCAACTCGGGCTAAATTGATATACTCGGCTGCACACAGAACAAATTTGGGAATTCACATTAAAAGTACTTACTAGGCGGGGGCATAAAAACTAAATTTAACATCAAATATTGTTAATGGTTCTTAACTTAGATGGGTACTCAGCAGTTGGAATATGTATTTGGGTATAAAACTTAGATAAGATTTTGAAATGGGTTTGGTTAGATATAATGTTGAAATGGTACGTTAAGTTGCTTATTTTTAGTCTTAAGATTAACTCTAATTGAATTTAAATCAATGAAGCCAGAAAAGACTTCAAAGATATCGGGAAATCCGAGCTTAATAAGCCCAACATAAGACCACTAAGTTTATTTATCCAAACTTCTTATAATCGCAGATAAAACGTCTTCATTAAGCTCTTAACTTTCATTAAAACTTCCCTCGTTATTTCTCCAGTGCTTGGATCGACTTCCGCTGCTCTTTCTTCCACTTCTGCCGCTGCCAACGTCGCTGCCTTTCATCAATTTCAAATTAGTGAAAATCGAGAAACGGAAATTATTTACTATCTGGATGGGTGGGAAGGATGGGAAGGAGAATGTGGATGTGAATGTCTGTTGGATGGGTGGCAGCAACAATCTATCCATCCATCTATCTACCGCCTTGGCCATTACAAGTGCAATTTATCTCGCAAATCATTAATCAACCTACCGTTTGTTTTTCCCTCCCACCCCCTCCTTATATTTGGCAATTGTTTTCCGCCTGTTTTTGTGTATTTATCAGCGAACCATTTCTAACGGCACGAACTCAACTTGGCCCCTCCCATCCGATACGGAAAATCAATGGAAATCACACACGACAATCCCGCAAATGAAAAGGGCGGCGCTGCTCAATTGAGCCGCGTATAAAACATGATTGAAAGATACGCGAATCGACCAATACAAGTGTGCCAAACTGAACACTGAGCTACAAGATACAACTGTAAAGAAACAGCTGTGCAATTTGTAGATTTCCAAGTTTAAGGATTTAATTAAATATATTTGTAAGAATTTTTTTTAATTCTCATAAAGAATATTAATAATATTAATTTATAAAATCTTCTTTAAATTGCAATTATTACCATTTAATTTAACCTATAAAGCTTTTAAGTTCATATAACCAACCCCTTACCAACCTTGTACGCCAGTGTATCTAAGTTTCCTCTCCGCATTCCACAGATACAGATACAGATACACGAGCACACCTTTTGCCTCAGGTGTATATCTGTATGTGTTTGTGTATCTAAACGAGCGAATAAGAAGGCGGCGTATTGCGGACACTCTCGCACTCACACACACACAAACACACTCACACGAATCGGGCATTGCATAGATTGCGATTACAATTTTAATTTAATTGACCGCCTCCCCGCCACCACTATTCCAATTGGGAATCGGTGAAACGGCAATCCGATTGGCTGACGACCCAGCAATTGAAGAGAGCGAACGAGTTTCGGGAACGAGTGGCAGTAGGAACAATTGGAGGCATTGCCACCCCAACCATTCCATCGTTCCGCAGCGAGAGAGAGAGAATCATATCGCTGCGTTTCATTCCCAATTGGACGGCTCTCAGGAGAGCTGTGAGCAGAGCTGCCGGCAGAGGCGAAGGCAGACGCAGAGCACATGAAGTATATAGTTTCTTGTTCGCGATTCAGATCGATTTGGACTTCGGAGTGGACGAGACGAGACTCTATGCCCAATTAGAGTTCCGTGAGCGTCGATCGTGCGGTCGGATAACGGCTTTTCAGATGGACCATAATTTTAATTAAATAACTTTGCAAAGTGGATTAATAACAATCGTGTTCCCTGTGTCTGTGCGTGAGTGTGTGTGAGTGTGAGAAGTATAAACTCTTGATTTTGCACTAAAGATTAAATCAGCAACGAAAAGAAACCCTCAGATAAAGCAAATCACATAAAACAACCGCAAATTATTGCACATTTGCAGCAAAACAAACAGAAAGGCATAGAGTCCAAGTGAACGGTTCTTAAGCGCGTTCTCCTTTTTGCCAACAAGAGTGAGGAGCACAGATATAGAAGCTTGAAGGGGAACTAAAAAGAACGGTTCGCGCCTTAAAATAAAATCAAATTCATATACAGAATTAATGCCGTTTAGAAGCTAAAAACACAAAACAAAAGTGCGTTGTGCCAACTAAATACTTTTACTAAGTATATCAACTCGCGGGTGATCATCCGGAATATCCAGAATACCCGTAATTATCCGTTTTTCCCGTAATATTCGTGACATTCGAGCAGAGCAAGCCACTTCGATGCAACTTCGAGTGCACCCTACTATGGACTGTAGCGGTCGTTCAAACAGCAATATTGAACGCGATTCCGATCTGGGAGACGATTTGGTAAGCATTTTTGGATAATTGTATATTTTTCAGCTCAAAAATTATAATAAAATAAAAATAGGAAGATTTTTCATGAGTTACCTGTTTGTCTTACTATAAGTTAGATCAATGTATAAATTAAATGCTTAATATAGCTAAATCAAACTTCCCATGACATGTTGATTAGAAAGCAAAATAGCGAATATTGCAATGATAGAACATAAATTCAAGTCATAAACTTAATTGGCATAATTGCAGTTTATTAAAGTTGAATGAAGTGAATAATCGACACGGAAAAATATCAGTAAATGCAGTTAAATGTAAGAATTATTATTAAATCGTAGAATACTGATGTAAATACATCATACTAAATATTTAATAATGATACTTTAGAGGGTTGGATGCATTATAAATATATAATTATTTGATATAACACAAGCTGGTGTTTACAACTGTCATTATCATCATTTAATGGAAGTCCTTGTCTTACTCCTAGACATATTTCAAAGTATTCATATCACCAACAGAAATTAGTCAAGCATCAAAATCAATAATGTATCCCACCTTTCATCTATATAGCGTTTATATATAGAATTTGATTTGTTTTCCATCCGACCAAGCGGTAATTTGAGTAACTAATGCATCAATATCCATTTGCCACGCGAAAAATATTATTTAATCTTGAGAGGGTGAGTAGGAAAAGAGTGACAACTGAAGGGGAAAAGATCTTCGAACAGGTGCTTTGAATCGATCTACAAGAATAGGAATATAAGAATATATATTTATATACCGATTTGCCGACGGCACGTGGAAAAGGCCTGAGCTTTGCGGGCGAAAAACCAAAAGTGATTCTCGAATCATGATCTCTTGTTTGGGTAGCAACTTATACTTGAGTTTTTGTTTTATTTTTTCTGGGCGAAACCAAAGGCAATTCCTGCGATTCCACTCACATTGTTTGCAGATGATTCAAAACGTAATTATAATGTTAAAAAAATATGTTGATTCAATCGAGTCGGGTCTGGGAGAAAGGGAACTTGAAATCTCTGGAGGGGGAGTTGATATTTTGGCTTTTCTGTTTGCCGGAGAGCCGTTAAAAGGTGACATGCTAAATGGTCGCATACAAGACGGTTATTATACACAGGCACACTCACCTGGATACATACATACTCACACGTTGATCGAGCTAAGTGCATAACACACTCATAAATACAAATAGATTCATCTGTTTCGGGGTCCAAGATCCCAGATCCCATCTCAGAGATCTCAGATCTGAGATCCCGAGAGCTTGGCATCTTGGCATCTTGGCATCTCGTTCACATTTCCATCGATTGAAAGAGATCTTTCAATCCAAGCTCTTTGATGGCGTTCATATGTAAATAAATTGTTCAAATATTTGCATTATTTGTTAGTACCTTAAATGAATATTAAATGGGTTTTATTGCCTTTCAGGCCTTTCGGCCATTCAGTCATTCAGCCATTTGGCCATTCGCTTTCAGGTATGCAGAGGTCCAGAGCATCATTCAATAAAACTCTTGTTAGTTTTTTCCCTCTGCCCCTTTGTTTTTCTTTCATTTTTATTATTGTTAATAGACATTGCCGGCTCGATCAACAATGAGCTAGACTTTATACACTCGATAGCCGGCCGGCTATTTACATAATTTTTAATAGCCTCGCTTTTGGCCAAGAAGACCGCGATCCGAGATGCTCAGAGATGGTCTGAGCAAACAGCCTCTGAATCTGAGATCCATTCGTCATCTCGGCGATCTCTTAGGGTCTTGGCTGGTGTTAATTGAAGGGTTCCTCAATTGAATGTCCACATGTGGGTGCTGTTTAATTAACCCCACAACGTATGCTGGTGTCATTCGCACATCCGATCCCGATTTCTATTCAAATCAAATCCTGCGCTCGCGTTTTCGACTCAAAAGTCACGATTAAACAATAATGTGGGCTGTCAAAAAGTCATAAATTCTCAAATGAAACCAAGTCGTGCCCATCGGTCCATGTTCCATGTTCGATGCCCGATGCCCGATGCCCGATGCCCGATGCCCGATGCCCAATGCCCAGCATCGTCATCCGAGCAGCTCTTTAATTACTTGGGTTAAACGCAGAGTTTAAAATTATTGCCGAATTGGTGGCTGTAATTTTTGAATCGTTTTTAAATTAAATCAATGTTCGCGGACATGACTCGGGACTATTGGGAATCGCCGCCTGGCTGGGACTCATTCTGACCAGTGCACGTGCTCCGGGCAGAGTTCCCACATTAAATCACATGGCTATTGGGTTGGGGAAACCCCCCTAAATCCAAAATCTCAGTGGTTGTTAACGGCTTGACTGGCGTTCGGTGGTGTTTGCCCTGATTCACACTTTGACTTGATTTTCGGGCAGCATTTTCCATATTTATTTATGGCCTTTTTTATTTGTTAGCCTGAAATGGGAAAATTTAATTATGGGCTTCAAAAATAAAGAAGTTGAGTGAATTTCTTGAGTAATCAAATCAAGTTAAAGTGGTTTTAAAATGTGAAATTAGAAGAGTTTACTTTTTAGTCTTAATATACAATAATTTCACTGCCCTGTGAAATCGCTTACCTGGTTCTGAGACGGGTTAACTGTTTCACACTTGGTGGAGGGGAAAACAAGCCCGATCACACTCCCCCCTGAACCCTCTCCCTTTTTGCCACCGCCACTGGAACAGAAATCATTTGGGTCGGACAGGCAGCGGCACCTGTTATAATTTGTTTGGCTTCTTGTACGCTGACAGGCAACGATTTTTATTAAATTCTTTCTGGGGGCTCTTTCCGCCTGGCTCTTCTTCTTGCATAACCACATAGCCATATAGCCATAGCCATTTAGCAGGGAAATATTTGATTAAGTATCTAGTGGAGGCCCTAGGGGGATGACATGTCCCTGACTCTTTCCCCTCCCATTTATTTCTCTTTTCACTTTTGGTGGCGCTTTCAACCGCAATGACAAACGAAATTTGTTTTGCTTTTAGTTTGTCTTGTTGGGGCGCGAACTTGAAACTGGCCAAAGGTGGGGGGAGGATTGTCACGTCATCGGGATAAATGTGTGTTAAAAACAGAATTTAATTTACTACAAATGCAGTTTACGGCACACAAAACTGCAAGGCGACAAATGTCGGAGGCAAAGGCACAAAAGCACAAAAAATATTCATGAAAACAACGCAATAACAGCAGAAAGAGCTCGTAAAAAATATGATTATTATTGGTGCTATTACAGTTTGCGCTTTTCGTATTCGTATTGTTTTTAATGAATTTATGAATTATTTTGCCAACCATAGCTAATAAAACTGTTAATTGGATTTTTCCAGTACAGCTGCCGATTGCGAAAAGCGGCAAGAAAAACGAACTGCGAATCGCAAGGCAAAATGTGAATTTGCGAGGGCACGAATTGTGTTTCGTTTTTGTTTTTTTTCTGTGGAGTGGATAAAAAGAGTATTTATCATCGCGCTAATAAAAAGCCTGCCTTCTCATTTGCTCTCTTTGATATATATGTATATAGCTCTCCCTTCTGCTATGGGCGTGGCAAGTGGCCAAGGGGAAAATCGCGCGAGAGCTGCAACAAATTGAATAACCAAACTGGCAAACAAGCCTTTTAATTTAGCACAGAAAACATCCTTGTTTAATGTTTGCCTGCTTTCCTCACTTCACACCTGAACGGCGGCGTGTACCTTTCGTATGATGAAGCCAAACAAAATGCAACTGAAATCAATACGTAATTATTATCGATTCTTTTTTGTGGCTCTTAACAAAATTAAAGGTTTAAACTGTCTATTTTGCGAAGCTCATAAACATTTTATGATAATAACTAAGAACTTGCTTGTTTATTTTTAATTTAACTCCCAAAGGGAATCTTTGATAACAGAGTATATATATATATCAGAGTATATATGTATAAAAATACTTCTTGTTTATAGAAGAGTTCCTCCTTGCCAGAATACACTTCCCATCCCTCGCTGACCAACAATTCTGTTTAGCAACATTTCCTGATTAACAAAGGTGGAAAGTGCGGTCTTAGAGAACTTTCCTCATGTGGCGACACCCAGTCATAAAATAGAGATATATTTCGGGCAGGCGACTGCAACAAGCCTTGGTGCCCCTTCATCTCCTGCTCCTGCTGCTGCGCCCTTCTCCTTTTGGATCCAATAAAGTGGCCTCTCTGGCGTCCAGACAGTCAGTCCAAAGACCAGGAGACCAACCAAGTCCTCAAGAGACCAAAAGACAGGCGGACTTGCGGGCTGGCCAAGGCAATAAAATAATGCAGTTTTTAATTATTGCCGCCTGCAATCGAAGCTAGACGCAGTGAATCCACCCCGGAGAAGGAGAAGGAGAAGGAGTCGAACTTAGACTTGGACTTGGTCCTGGGTCTTCAGACTGCCAGACCGCCACGCCGCCACACCGCCAGACATATAGAACCCAGCCCAACTATTGCCGTTTAACCGTTGCGTTTCTCTCCACTCTCCACTCTCCTCAGCTCTTTCCTTTTCTTTTTTGTATTTTTTAACCGGTTTCGTTTTTTGTATTTTTTATTGTTTACGCGAAATTTTCGTCTGCCCGCCGCGCTCATTTTACATGGGCGTGCGTGCCAAAAGGGATAAGGGGGTGTCATGGCAAGGGGGATGGTGCAGATGTATGTGTGTAGTAAGGAGGGGGAAGGGTGGGGGTTCTCAGTACAGCCAGCGCCATTATGTTTTGCCACAGTGTGTGTCTGTGTGCGTGTGTTTGTTGGCCCGTTTTTGTTGTTTCCATTTTTATATTTTATTCGCTTTATTTTTTCCGCTTCGACGCTTTGCGAGCGAATGAAATCGCGTTTGTACGCACACATACACACATCCACACATACAGACATACACACATACACAGAGGCACACTCGCGCTCGACCATTAACAGCTCGCATCTGTGTGAGTGCATATGTGAATGTATCTTTCAGATACGTTTTGCATTTTAATTTTATTTCCATGCTCTCGTTGCCCGAAGACCACGTTGCACATGCTTTTTGTCCCTTTTCCATATTATTTTTTCCATCTCCTCAGTTTTTAGCCGCTGGCCTCGAGTGCCTTCCCTCGGAACACGAGTATTCCGCTGCAGTTGCATCGCGCTGAAATGCATAATTCGCCACGGGGTGGATGCGTAAATGGGCAATCTTATTTATATATTTATTCAGTTATAAGATCCCCGAGCACATGTTTGGCTGGCGCACAGAAACCCGAGGGAAGCGAGGGGCAGGGGAAGCCTCAGGGGTTGATTGGTATATTAAAAATAATTCTTTGATGGCTTGTTAACCGTTCGGTTTAGCTAAATTATGGCTTAGAACCTCGAATCTTGGCTGTAGTCCAATTAGCAGATTTGTCTAAGTCCATGGATTAATTCTGTTTGCGAGTATATGGAGGTTTCTTCTGATATCCCATTAAATCTCCCGCAGACGCAGAGGCCCCGGGGGCAACTTAGCATCTATCTCTGGAGGGCATCATGTCATCCAAGATTATGTTTTTGACAGATATCAAGATGTGACATATGAATGTTTACGAAACTATTTTTATAGCTGGAGATATCTGTCAGCACATGTTCGTAACCCTAAACTACAGTTTGGCATTCTTAATAGCACAATTTTAAGTTTATAAAACGATTTAAGTCTCAGTTTTTTACTAAGAATTCCTCTCCTCTGTTCGCCCTCTTAAGATTTCCCTCTAATACAGTCCTAACAATGTGCATAATTACTCAGTCTTAAGATCTGAATAAGACGAACGTAATAAACTTAAGACGCCAGTACGCCCAGGTCTGATCCTCAAATGAGATCCGGGCGACAAGCAGCCACTTGAGTCGTAAGGACATTAGGTCTCGGAGAGGAGTTCAGAGTAAAAAAGGGAGAATAATGAAAAAACAAGGACATTCAGTTGTAAAACCGGCGACTCGAGCCACAGAAACAGATACAGATACAAGTAGAACAGATACATATACAGATGCGGATACACATGCTCGGCGGCTCGTAATCTTAATCCTTCACACAATAAACGCCCCTTGGATGGGCTGCCGTACAGGATTCTCTCTACTGGTAGCAATATCCTGATCCTGTTTGCCGGCAGCGCCCTTCACAGCTTCGCCTCGGGATTGTCGCATTATGGGTTTTCGAGCGGTCGCAGCGGTTCGTCCTTTTGTTTTAAATTAGCACGGCATGTTGCACATACGGCCTCCGTCCGTCCGTCCGTCCATCTGTCCGTCCGTTTGTCCGTCTTCGAAACCCTCAGAAACTGCCAGCAATTTCCTACAAATTTGTCACTGGCAAACCATATTCGATTGTCGAACAACGAACAGCGAATGGAAATTAGGCAAATTGCATTTGTGGTCCCCATTTCCCAATGTAATGATAATAAATTTAGATAAATTATTTCCCGCTACTTCTATCGAAAAGGTAATGTCAACAGTAATTAGTGATAAACAGAGTGCAGCAAGAGGGGGCGGGGAAACAGTCTGTGGCAAATAAATTAAATATTTTACCGATACAGGCCACTCAGATAGTTGCCTCCGTCTGCGGTGCATTGAAAGCTATTAAAGTAAATTGCACAGGTGCCGCCCCCTGAAGCCCCCATGCCCATCTGTCTCCATACCCATGCCCATATCCATATCCATTTGCTTTGTTTGAGTTTTGGAGTAGTAGTATCTCCATTGGACATGTGTACGGCCGAGTTTTCCTCATTGTCTTTGGGTCTAATTGCGATTTAATGTCTTGCCATTGCAGCCTAGAGAGTCTTCGGATTTAGCCAGCGATAACAGTAGCGTTTTATCAACGCAGAAATTAATGGAACTGCCGTGTCCCCCTCCTAACTTGCAGGTGGGCTTCGATATAGTCACTAGCCAGGCACATCTGTAAATGGCGGATAGCGGATAGGGCACCTCCATTTCCATTAGAGTGCGGGTGTTTCCCCGATGTGACTTAATGCCTGCCAAGTGGAACACCTTATCTCTTCATGGTGATTTATGCGACGCCTATTACGACTATATATATTTCCACGGAAGCTCTCCCGATATTCCTACGAAATTCCATATCTGGAATGAGCATCGTTGCGGTGATTTTGATGGATTTCTTCCTTCGGTTTCCAGTTAATTAAGTTAACTGGAAAACGTGGAATATAGTTTTGTGCCTCTAATTGGAAAAGTCGTGTGAAGAAAAGTCGGTTAATAAAGTTTGGAACAGCCTTTTAATACCTTTTGAAATTACTAATTTTTTATGAAAATGTTAAATAAAGTGGCCCATAAATGAGCGATTTTCTGGTTACTCTGGTTAATGGTAAATCGCCTTTTAAGCTTTTAAGCCATTAATGATACCTGATAATTGTTTTTATAATTAAAATGCGTTCACATGCTAAAACGCGCTGGGAACTAATGGTCTCTCTCTCGGCCTTTTCATTTCACTCATAATTCCCAGAGCCTACTTTGTTACCATTTTAATGAATATCTTAAATAAATTACCAGAGTGCGCCTCTCTGAGCCGCCAATTCGACTTCCATCTGCCGATCCGTAACCATATCCATATGCACTTGCAACGTGCAACAGCAACATTAAAGCGGCACAAATTCGTTGTGCATTAATTAGACATTTTATAGGTGCAAGTTGGCATGGCCTGCATGCAGTTTTCCGTTGGCTGTTGGCCGTTGGCCGTTGCCTCCTGAATGTTGGCCATTGGCCGGGCACAGACCACAACTCTGTTTGGGCCTGGTCAACAGCAGACCGCAACTAAAACGCCGGGCCGTGTGTATGGGTGCATCTGCATGTATTTCGCATGGCTTCGATAAGTTACATTAATTTGATATACACACACTGGCAAGCATGGCCGAGTAGCCGCCAAGTCGAGTTAACTAACTAACCAACCAAGCCGGGGCTACTCGTAAGTCCACTTCGGTTGCCAAGATCAAGCAGCTATGACTATATTGTTGTTCTGGTCGAAGATCTATATCATCACTCAGTTTAAAATCCAAGTTATCCAAGCCACAAGTTGGTTAAATAGATCACACGTCTTGCTTATTTACTAACCTTAATGATTCTTTCAAAATGAACTCCGAGTTAAAGGTACGCCTTATCCCAACTTATCCGTATTTCCCACTTAATATATCTTCAAATTCATATTTAAAGCTGCCTTCAGCATTTCAAATATCATTCTTTCAAGACATGACAACATCACCATAATTTTTTTGACCGCAACTGTGTGTGGAAATGCATATGCAACATTTTCGCCATCGAAGCGGTATGCATTTGCGCCAACTTCAAAGAATTCCGGGAACTCGGTTTCTCTATGGCGGAGGCATTGTCTATGCCTTGGTTTTGGTTGCATTTATGATTATGCCAGTACGACCAGTACTTGGAGTTCCAGTACCAGCACTAGTACCACCACACCACCAGGCGATAAATGTTGAACACACTCACAGATCCAGCAAACATATCCACCTAGCCACATCCACATATGAGACCGACTTCAGTTGGTTTGGCTTACTTTGTTTGGTGCCTCCGCTCCCTCGGCACCCTGCTCCCCTCCGCCTCCTCCTCCTCCTCCTCCTCCTCCTCCTTAGGCTGTGTTTAAATTGAAAATTCCCGATTTGCACACAGTCACAGATGCGCTTAATTTGCACCTCTCCAAATGCATAAAAACCAAGAAGCCGTGATGGAGTTGCATCGGAGGTGGGGCTCGGGAGGAAGAGCCGGCCAAGGAGCTTGGTGTGGCTAAAGACGCAGTCGTCGCAGTCGCAGTCGCAGTTGGTGACTTCAACACTCCCGGCCATGCGTGGCGGACTTCTTGGCAGAGCTTGGTAAAGTCACGGCTGGCCATGTCTAGCATGTCTACCATTCCAGGAGCGGAGGAACAGCTCCCCCTCGGGGACCCCTCCACCGGACCTGGAGTGCGAACGAGTCTGGGCTGATTGCCGTTTTGTGGGTCTGCCATTGTTAATTTATTAAGTGGTTACCTTTGTTGTCACCCCGCCGGAGGAAGTTGCTTTCAGTTGCTTTCAATTGAAATTGCGCGGCATGGCTTGGTTAATGTGGCTCTTGGCACATGCCATAAACCAGAAAAGAGAGGCCCGATCGAGGCCTGACTCACAGCTAGATCAATGACCACTGCCCACGCAGACTGATCCCAGGAAGATCCCGTCTTAATATCGATTCTGATTCTGATCCACCGCTTGACAAAGTGCCCATATTAAGCTAGCCCAGCGGGCCGCTTGTTGACATAAGCGCCGCCATTAATCCCCCATCAGCTCTAAGGGGTTTCTTTGTTTCTAGATTGCAGTACACTGAAACCAGTTAGGTACTAGGATGAATTATTAATATAACAATTATAGAGTAAGACAGGAAGTGTCAAAGATAAATCAAGTAGAAATCAAGTTATCACTAACGCTTTTCCTTAAAACTCATAAAAATCGAATCATAACTTATCAAATGATTTGTGTTTCTTCCTGTGCAGTCACATGGTGATCGAACAGACGACGAGATGCGCGACTGCGACTCCGTGGATGGAGAGCATCATCAGCTGAGCGCCAAGGCGGCGATTGCAGCCCGCTTAAGTCACACAGTTTCCGGCGGAGGAGGGAACTTCGCTAGTCCCGAGCCACAGACCGAGTTGCCCCTGAGGTGAGTGACTGCCCCTGATTAATGTCCTGGCTGCGGAGGTGCAATAATCCCAATTCTCATCTCACAGCCATCACCATCAACTGCCGCCGAATCATCCGCTCAACGCTCTGGGCAGCTTCATGGGCATCGGCGGACTACACAGCATTCCAAATCTCCAGCACAGCGATGTGCTCGAGAAGCTCAAGATGCAGGTGCGCGACATGAAGGTGGGACTGATGGTGAGTATCAGGTCATTTAACTACCTAAACTAACTAAAATTACAAGCAATGCTAGTGAAAGGTATCTGAACTTAGGCAATCAACTAATGACTTTAATGAACTTTCTTCCGCAGGAACAGGATTACGCGGCCGCAGCTCATGCCGCTGCTTTCGGGGCCAATATGCTGCCCACGACGATCAACTCTGGATTCCCGCTGCCCCACAATTCGGTGGCTGCGGCGGCGGCAGCTGCCTCTTTCGGTCACGTGACCTCCGCACCGAGTGGCGGCAATGGGGGTAGCTACAACGGAGGCACCAACACCACGCCCAGCTCCAACAGTAACGCGGCCAGCAATGGAGGCGGCAACAGCGGACCAGGCGGTACCGGAGGATCAGGTGGCGGAGGAGGAGGTGGAGGAGTAGGAGTGGGTGGCCACCAGTTCTCGTTTGCATCCCCCACATCAGCGCCGAGCGGCAAAGAAGGTTGGTATCTAATCTATCGCGTGGCAGCCGGCGATCCATTTGTGTTTAACTGTTGCACTCAGCCCGCCACTTTGCAGCCAATTCCGCATCCAACTCGTCGACGTCCAGCGAGGCTTCCAATTCATCGCAGCAGAATAATGGATGGAGCTTTGAAGAGCAGTTCAAACAAGTCAGACAGGTTAGTAGAGTTGGTTGGTTGGGATGGGATAGTTGGCCAGAGTTGGTAGGGAGGGGGGCCTAGAGGTTCTCGAGAGGGTCCAGTCAATTGAAATCGACAAAACTGTGTGTAAACAAGATGCAGGCAGGCTATCAATTAACGACTAATAGGCAGTCCATCGGGAGAGCATCTCATCCGCATCCCACCTGGCCAAAGGGGCTAGAAACCAGTTGGAAGATGCTGCAGCCTGCCGTCCAGTTTGTGATCTCGTTTCGCATCGGATCGGATCGGATCGGCTTTCGTCGGCCAATGCTAGTGCCGCCTTGAGGCGTTTCAGGCGATATGATAGTTCCGGTTTGCAATTGAGCAATTAATGTAGCCCCTTTTCAGGGCGTTAATTTGGTGAGAAAATAGCTGGCCAGCGATGCCATCCCCCGGCATGTGAGGTCCAGATGCTGACCAAGAGCAATTAGGCCCGAAATCCCCTCGCTTTCCGCATATCTCGAGAGCAGTGCACATTTTCTGTTTTCTTTTTTTTTGGTCTGGTCATTAAATGTGGTTGCCAAAATCGAGGCTCAGATACACATGGACACTGTGTGAACCCTGACAGCTTTTGGTTCCGTTCGGTTCGGTTCGGTTTGGCTTGACTCGTCTCGCTTGGGCCATAAAAACCGAATTTCGATTAACTTTAAATGCACACACACTCTTGCACTCTTACACTGTTACTCTTACTCCCTTTTGGCCATTCGCGAGGGCAGAGAGCCGTGGCTATAGGCATGGCTGGAGCTATCCATCAAACGGAGCCCGCATTCTCTATGCACTATAAAAACTTTGACCCTCGCAATGCAATGCAAAAGATACTTATGTATCTCGCCGATGTGGCTCTTGCCTTAAATGTATCTGTAACTTCACGCTTAACACCTTCGCTTACACCGTGTGCGGCTCTTGAATGATGATGATGTGCTTGCAGAAACCGGCTGGCCAGCTATATATCTGTATAACTCCCTTTGGCCTCCTCCGACTTGGGCTCTCTGTCTGTAGGTGTTGGATAAATCCCTCGTGGCACGTTCAAAATGGCTGTTTCGCTCTTTCATTAATTGTGGAAACGAGACGAAACGTTAATTATGTTAATTGAAGCGATAGCTGCGACTACGAAAAGGCCATTTTGAAAGAGTATCGCTGAGGTACAGATACGTTCATTCATTCGCTGGCTTCCCAGTCAACAGCCATTTGCTATTTGCCATTTGCCATTTGCCGTTTGCCTTTCCCCAAATCCCAAATCCCAATTCAAATTCAAATTTATGGTGCGCTCTGATTTTAGTTCTCAGTCTTGGCCATCAGTCAGATAGTCAGCCAGTCAGTTAGTCTGCCAGTCAGCCAGTCAGGCATCCATCCATCTATATATCTAGCTAGCTAGCTGGCTGGCTATCTATCTTTCTATCCATCCATCCGCAGACGAAGACAACAAGTAAAACAAAAATATTATTTTTGGTACATTTCGCTGCTCATTTCTCGTACTATATAGTTTCTTTCTGCGGCTACGGCTGCTCTGCCCTGCCCTGCTCTGTCCTGTCCTGCTCTGCTCTGCTCTCATTAATCAATGTCAATTATCTGTACGTACTGAATAATTATGTTTAATTATAGCCCCAAAGCATTTTCCAATAATATTCTATATTTTATTTTTTTGTACTTTATATACACTCGTATGTGGACTTGTCGAGGAATTCAATCGTGGCGATTGTGCAATTTCCTTTCAATCCAAAGCTGCATTTGGCGCGTGTTTTGCCTTCTGTAATTAGTAGATCTCTCGATTGAGTTGGTAAACTTGGGGCTAACGTTCTAAATATCTTGGGAATGATTGGGAAAGCAATTTGAAAAGGTTAAGAAGTAGATTTGTAAGGTATTTATAAAGTTCCTAAGCCAAAGTCAAAGTCATGAGTACATAAAGACATCTCTAAAATAACGAAGGATAAGAGAACCTCTTAGGTAGAGGCATGTCTAAGTTAGGTATTCCCTAAGCTTGTGAATTATTTTAGTTAATGAAAACCTTTTTAGAAGAGATTAAATCTTAATTCCCATCCACTGTAAGTTTAGATACTTCATTAGCAGCAGCATTTCCCTGAAATTTGTGAGAGCCAACAAATAATATTTAAAACATAAAGAGCCCGAAAGTCTGTTGAACACATTTTGAGTAATGAGTGTGAAATTCTTGAATAAATATGCGACCAGACAACCTGCAGATGTATCTGTATCTCAAGACGCGAGATGAGCTGTGTGCTGGCGGTCAAATGATGAACTCGATACGGCAGGATAACACTTAGGAACCGAAAGCCGTGCAACGGGATCTGTGACCATATAAATTTTAATGTCCACTGGAAACCTTTTTGCATCCATATGCCAAGGCATCAGTATCTGTATCTGTATCTGATAGTTATAAATTACATCCACACCCACACCCACACACAGATATAGAAAGGGAAAGAGAAAGACAGGAGCAGGCAGAAGGAATTGATCTGGCGAAAATGCAGCCGAATACCAGAATTCCCAGAATCAAGGATTCAAATTTCAAGCACCCAGGCAGCGGGCAACGGATTTGCTGGGCACTATAGGACTAGGACTAGGCGACAAATAAGTGAGATTATTTTTATAACCCGAACCCGAAGAACATGTGTGTGTATGCTGTCTCGCTCAGGCAGTGGCAGTGGCAGCAACTTCGATAGTTATAAAAACGATTATGATTGGTCTACAAAGTCCGCTTTAGGGGATAGAATTCCAGTTTCTCGGTTTTATAGCTTTATTGCCACGGATTTTGGTCGTTGGGAGAGATATTGGTAGCGCTTAACGGTCTTGCGGCTGCTGTGATGCAAGTTAGGGATCGAGAATCGTGAGAGATATCGGAAGATGAAGATGCGGCACAGGCAGGTTTGCAACCCTTGTGTGAAAGCGGGACTTCATTTTATGATTATTAATACAAATACCCCAGACAGGCAGGCAAATATGTATATACAGCAGCACATGTGTGTGCCTGTGTGCGTGCCTGTGTGTGCGTGCAGCGGCAGCGAGGCAGGCAGCATTTCGATCCAGACTCCTGCCACATATTTAGTTGATAAACGACCTTTGATGGCGTTGCATCGTCGCGTTGATCAATGAAATAAAACCAACCGAATTGGGTTTTTTCCTAAAAAGAACAAAAAACAAGTGAAGCTGAGTTTTGAAATCAAGAACCGCGAGCTGAAAAAGTGTGAATCCGAATCGAAATGCTTATCTCCGAGGACCAGATACAGGAGGTACATGCAACCATCCATCCTTATAAAGTGTAATCAGTGGGAAAGTCAAGAAAATCAAGGAACAGCCAAGGAACCAATCCAGTTGAATTTCAATTAATTTATTTTGTGTTTGGCTCAGCCCAGAGCAGCCCAGCCCGGGCTTATATAAGCAGTTCTTGTTGTGTGTGCCAAGCTCAGCCAGCTCAGCCAGCTCGGCCAGCTCAGCCAGCTCTTGTGGGCGTCGAGCATCATAAAAAATATCCCCAGCCAGTTTGGAAAGAAGTTCGAGGAGCAGCAGCAGCAGCGGCAGGAGCAGGAGCAGGAGGAGTCCAAAGTGCCCGGCCAAAGTCAGGGCTCCGACTCTGACTTGGTTTTAAATCATTTATGCGAGGAGGTGGAGAGGCGAACGCGGAGACAGAGCAGGAGAAGGAGGCAGTTCATCATTCGCATTGACTTAGAATGTGCACCACGGATGGTATAGGGTTTTAGCCGGGTCTCCAGCTCCTCGACGTTTCTTTCTTTCTGCAGTAGGCGGAAAGTATGATGAATTCCGAATTTGATGAGTTCACTCCGATGTTGTCATTAATTCTGAACATACTCGCTCTCGTACTCGTACTCGAACTCAGGCTGTGACTAAGGTTTTTCCTTCGCGAGTTGGTTCCTGGTGGCAAAGGTCAAAGCATGAGCCGCAGGAAAACCCCAGCAGATAGCTGCGATAAATAATAATGTATAAATGGCAGATACATATGTATCTATGTATCTATGCCTGGCATCTCCCTCGTGTCCACACACACACTCCGGTCTTATCTCTATCACCTAATTATCCATTGTACGATTCACGCTCATTGAGTGTTTCACACTCTAACAAAAGCGGAAAGGGGGTTGGAGGTTAGGGCTGCTATCAACCCCCGGCGAACAATGAGAGGCATTGCAAAGGGAGGGACCAGGAGAGATAGAGAGGGATATAGCCAACACGCGCCCCTGTCATCGAGAGCGTCTATTGTTGGCCCAACAAAAGGCCAGAAGTGAGCCAAAACTCCATTTTGTGCCAAACCATTGGCCAAAAGAGTCAAGTCGTTGGGTCTTTTGTTAGGTTGTTTTGTTATGATTGCGAACTAATATGCTTATAATGGACAGTTTTGGGGTGTTGTTCAGTACAAAAACAAACTGTGGGATATGAGAAGATTGTAATAGATTAATCTCAACTCTTTCTCATCCTTAACTTCTTATTTCCATTCACAGCTCTATGAAATCAATGACGACCCCAAGCGCAAAGAGTTCCTGGACGACTTGTTCTCGTTTATGCAAAAGCGCGGTAAGTTGCATCTTGCATTGAAGTTTGTACCTGAAGGGGCTAGAAGAGGGGTCTACTTTTGGGGAAGGGGAAGGGATAGGGGGCAACTATATCTCGAATCTCGAAATTTGCATATCCCTGGCCCAGATGACGGATTGCTGACTCAGCCAGCCAAGTGCTTTTGGGCTCACTCAAATTATGTTAATTGAATAAATTTCCCGGCACTTTGGCGTTTGATTTTGAAGAGCGCGAAGGGGCCAAAGGGGAGGCCATTAAAATATGCAGAAATTCTGGTGAAAAGGAAACTGAGAGAAGTAGAGAAATCATTTTGGTGGCTGACTTTTTGTCATTTTGTCACTTCAAATTACTGTCACACTCACACACTCTAGTGGCAATATGGGGCAGGAGGGGAGGAGGGTACGGGGTACCATATGCATATTGGTACTTAAATTTTAAAGGCGACTTGCAACGGCAATCGGAGCAAATGCCTATTTATACATGCGAGTTGCTTTCCTGCACTTTTGTCATTAATTATGGGCATTACCGAATGCGAGGGAAATCGGTGGCATGCAGCACCCACTATCGTGACTGTACTTTCCCAATAAATCACGGTGCCCGTTGGCCCTATTGCGATCCTTAAGCGTGTCCTGTAGGGCATGGTTAAGTGTGTGCTTGCCTCGCCTGCAACTTGAGAGGGCATTAAATTTGTTTGTATTTGCATAAGTCATGTTCCAGGGAAGTAGTAGGGGGAGTATATTGATGACCAATGGAAAACCTTCATAGAGAAAGCAGAATGTAAATACATAGTTTAAGCAACATTTTGAATAATGTTTGGAAGTCTCTTATATGATGATATCTTATAACGACCTCAATTCCTAGACATTTTAGCCCGTTTAAGCATTACTGTAACAATTTCGCACTCGAAAGGCAGCCGGAAAAGTACGAATAGTTTCCCAAGCTAAAGACATATTTGCCCGATGCATTATTTATTTATTTTATGTAATTCCGTATGCGTTTCATACAAAGTATATAGAAATCTATGCTTTGGGTAAACATACTTACGCGTCTCTATGTGCGTAGAGCGTCTTCGGGGCTTGACAACTTAATGGATTTTAATCTGTCACATGCGTTCAAGTTTTGACATATGCATGCTCACCCGTCGCGGTCACTGCAAAGGGGGTTTCCGAGGCAGGGGCAGGGGCAGGGACAGGGATTGGGGCAGGGAGAAAGGGGGTCGACTGTCTAAAGTGTCGTCCGCCATGAGAAGGAAGCGCCGAAAAATGCGACTCGGACCGAAAAGTATTCCGTGTCCATATGTCTATAGCCGAATGATATTGTACAATCGTGCAACTAACTAACGGAAATTATGCTCGAGCTCATCAGCCAACAGCCACCAGCCAGCAGCGGGCGTACCATATACTCGGATAAAATGTGGTAGATGTGGATCGCTTGCCGTGAGATGTTTGTGCAGCGAAGAGCGGCGCAATTCTTAATTAAAAGACGTCAATCACTTATCAACGCGCCGCTATTTTTGTAGATATTTCCCAGTGCTCAACGCTAGCTAGCTGGCACATCCCAACCTCTGAGATTTGAGATCCCCGAGATCTGGGAGATGCGACTCCCTCCTGCGCCTGGTGGCGTTATGATTTCAGACTCGATCAAGTTTCTTTTAATTTCCATTGAAAACGCCTGACATCTAGGAAAACAAATGCAGCCGAATAAATAAATAGACTTGCCCCGAAAAGAGTTCGGGCTGAAAGCCGCAGACAAAAAAAAAGTTGAAGAAATGTAAAAAGCTGCCAAGAAAAATAATAATAAGTCAGCGGCAGCAGCAGCAGCAGTCGGCATGTGCGTGTCAGGAGTAGCGGAGATTCAGGATCAGATTGGATTGGATCGGATCGAGTCCAGCGCCTTGGGCCTGGGCCAGCGATCGGAGCGGAGCCTATGCGACGGAGAGTTTAATGATCGATTCGAGTGACGGGCAACCAGAGTTGATCATTAAATTGCCTTTGATTATGTGCGTCCTCCCCGGGTTTTTGTTCGATTGTGGCTCGTGCAGCAATCTTTTTGCTCTCGCACATTTATTTTGTGTTATTCCTTTTTGATGCGAGCACCACCTCGCCACTCAATTTGTTTATATGCATAAAAAACAAACGTATTTTCATTCAATCAACACGTCCATCACAGAGTTTGATTGATTCCTTTCGGGCTCATAAAACACAACGAAAAAGAAACCGAGAGTCGATCGATCGATCGATTTATCCATGGGCCAGCAACAGGCGGCATTCGGCATTCGGTATTCTTTATTCGGTGTTTGCTGTTTGGTATTTGGTATTTGGATCGTAAAAAGGAAAGGAGGACGGCCAAGCATTATACAAATTCGAATTACACACGTACAGAGCCAGCAATTATGCAAGTTGATTTCTTTTTTATACCTTTTCTTCTTGGGCCCTGCACAAAAGGAGTTTTAAGTGCTAAATGCTCAAGATGCTGGGGCGTGTATTTCACTTCCAGGAAGATATATTATTGTAGAACATTTGGCCCGGATATATATTACGACTTTAATTAGACGAAACTTAATATAAAGTCACACAATTGATTTGAATTTCTTTCGGTGTGCAATAAAAAGAGATCGGAAAAGTCTTCCAACGGCACGTGAATATCTGAACAGAACAATTTGAATAGCAAATGGAGTCGAATGCCAATGTATATGATGATGATTAGCTGCCATAAACAGATCAACATATGTACAAACATGTGTATATATGGCCAGTGTAGTACAGTGTAGGGTAGTGTAGTGCAGTGCAGTGCAGTGTGTGTGTGTGTGTGTGTTTGGGATCGGGCAACAATTAGGATTTATTTCGGTTTTTATCGGCTTCGGTCTGCACTTTTCAGCTGCTACCGGGGCTACAAGTGTTAATTGCTTCGTGATCGATGAGTGGGAGTGGGAATTGGGGTGGGAGCAGGGGTGGCAATGCAGCGGGGGAGGCCCGGCACTCTTCGGGAAAGATAAATCTGTTTTATGGATCTTTAAATCGTGTTTTGCTTGTTGGGGCATTTAACGATCTAAATGGAAAACATCGCCAAGTGCAAGAACAAGTTTCATTGCGCAAACAACTAGGATCGAATTCGAATTTGGATTTGTAGTAAATCTGCCTCTCTCTTTCTCTTTTGTTGCAGGTACGCCGATCAATCGGCTGCCGATCATGGCCAAATCGGTGCTGGACCTCTACGAGCTGTACAATCTGGTGATAGCCCGCGGCGGGCTGGTGGATGTTATCAACAAGAAGCTGTGGCAGGAGATCATCAAGGGGCTGCATCTGCCGTCGAGCATCACCAGTGCCGCCTTCACCCTGCGCACCCAGTAAGTGGATATCTCCTCTATCCTCTATCCTCTCCCCTCTTCCAATCCCATCCCGCCTTCTGAGTTGGTTACCTCCCACGTCGAGCTATGTCCAAGACAAACACAAATACCATCAGCAATGCAAGATGCGGGGCAAACAGAAACGGACAATCAAACATTGCAGCGATCAAGCAACAATCGATCAGCGATCTTGGCTCTCTCTGTGGGATCGTGATTTGTTTGCCTGTCGCTTTCGTATTTACACGATAATTCAACTTAAACAGGACATCGACGTGAAGTCTACCCCGCCTGTCTTCTTCCCTGCCTCCCTGCCTTCAATGCATGTTTGCCGCGCTTATTAATAATTTTATGCATCTTGCAGATACATGAAGTATCTGTACCCGTACGAGTGCGAGAAGAAGAACCTGAGCACGCCGGCGGAGCTGCAGGCGGCCATCGACGGCAATCGCCGGGAAGGACGTCGCTCCAGCTACGGCCAGTACGAGGCCATGCACAACCAGATGCCGATGGTAAGTACATCATCTCTGGAGTTAGCAAGGAATTCCTGTTACTCATTTGTTTTGTATTTCCCAAATAGACGCCCATTTCGCGACCCTCTCTGCCGGGTGGCATGCAACAAATGTCGCCTCTGGCTTTGGTCACACATGCCGCGGTGGCCAATAATCAACAGGCTCAGGCTGCTGCCGCCGCCGCCGCAGCTCATCATCGCCTGATGGGAGCTCCCGGCTTTGGCCAGATGCCCAACTTGGTCAAGCAAGAGCTCGAGAGCCGTATGATGGAGTATCTGCAGCTGATCCAGGCCAAGAAGGAGCAGGGCATGCCGCCTGTTCTGGGCGCCAGTCATCCCCACCAGCAGCAGCACTCACAACAGCAGCAACTCCAGCAGCAGCAACATCAGCAGCAGCAGCAGTCGCAGCAGCAACACCACCTGCAGCAGCAACGCCAGCGCTCCCAGAGTCCGGACCTGAGCAAGCACGAGGCACTGAGCGCTCAGGTGGCTCTATGGCACATGTACCACAACAACAACAGCCCACCGGGATCGGCACACACCTCGCCGCAGCAACGGTAAGTTCAAGCAGCATTCGAGTTACAAGTTTGATTACAATTGGTAAAGATGCTTATGTAACTCTTCAAATCACATAATTGTTATTACGAAATTTTGCAATTTATGAAAGGATTTTATTACCCAAATATTCAGTTAACGAACTGAAATTGCTTAATTAATAAAAAAAAGAAAGTTGTAAGATTTGTAGTAAATTTTAAATACCTAAAAATTGTTTAACAATAACGAATATAAATCAATATTAAATTAAAATAATTCAATATTTAGTCGAGATCCAAACGCGCCACCTACTTAGCTGGCGCCATCTAGATTACATGCTGACAGTGATACAGATTAAATAGCGCTCTTTGCATTTAGCGAGTACACTAACCTCAACTTTTCTCTCCACTACAGCGAGGCCCTGAACCTGTCCGACTCGCCGCCAAATCTGGCAAATATAAAAAGGGAACGCGAACGTGAACCTACGCCGGAGCCCGTGGACCAAGACGACCAGCCCCACCAGCCGCCCCCAGCCAAGCGCGTGGGCAGTGGCCTCCTACCACCAGGCTTCCCTGCCAACTTCTACCTGAATCCCCACAACATGGCCGCTGTAGCAGCGGCCGCCGGATTCCATCATCCTTCCATGAACCACCAGCAGGATGCCGCCTCCGAGGGCGAACCTGAGGACGATTACGGCCATGCCGAGCACAATACCACGGGCAACTCTTCGTCGATGCACGATGAACATGAGCCACAGCAGATGAACGGCCACCACCACCAGAACCACCAGCTGGACAAGTCCGACGACTCGGCCATTGAGAACTCTCCCACAACATCGACCACCACCGGTGGCTCGGTGGGCCATCGCCACAGTTCGCCCGTTTCCACCAAGAAGAAGGGCGGTGGCAAGCCCCAGAGCAGCGGAAAGGATCTGCCAGCCGAGGACAAGGATGCGTCCACTGGCAAGCTCAACCCCCTCGAGACGCTGAGCCTGCTGTCCGGCATGCAGTTTCAAGTGGCAAGAAATGGTGAGTTAATTGGGATATCCTAGATATGTATACGATTCTGCATTATCCTCTCAAACCAATTATATTTGGTTGAAGAGAAGTTCGAACTTTACGAATTAATCTTATTAAATCTCCTAAACATATCGGCAGTCATCTAACCCAAACCTTTGTCCTTTCAGGAACTGGCGACAACGGCGAACCACAGCTGATTGTCAATCTGGAGCTTAATGGCATCAAGTACTCGGGAGTGCTGGTGGCCAATGTGCCGCTGTCCCAGGGCGAAACAAGGACGAGCTCACCCTGCCACGCTGAAGCACCCGTAACCGAGGAAGAGCACGACGGCGAGGAGCCGAAAGCTGGTGAAGAGGAATCGGAATCACATAGATCGCCAGTTAAGCAGGAGAACGTGGAAGCCGATGACCAGGACATGGAGGCCAACGAGGTCCTTGTGAATGGAGGTGGTGCTGCAGGCGTGGGTGTCCCCCTGCTAAAGGATGCCGTGGTCAGCTAGAGAGGATAGCGAGGGAGATAACGGCAAGGGAAGGAAGGAAAGGAATACCAAAGTCATATTTTTCAGAAAAATACAAAAGCAGTTCAACTCACACAAGCACACAGATGCCGAACCCAAATGTACATACACACGCATGCGGCAGGAGCACAGGAGCAGGACATGGGCAGGATGTGGCCATTGTTGAGGCCAGGACAAGAAAAGCGCATTAGGCGCATCCCAGCATTCGATGTTCATATATGTATTCAGCATTCATGCAGCACCGTCCCCCAGCGCCGCCAGTAGAGGATCATACAAATATATATACATACATATATATATTATAGAAAGTATATAGGATACGTGTGTGTGCTCTATTCCCACATTTGCATAAAAGACAAGCCAGCGAGCGTGTAGTTATCGATAGCCATTACTTACATAAGCGAGTGCATCACTTCGGATGCATCCAAACAAGCATACATATATATACAATATATGATATATGATATATGAATTAGGCTACGAATTCCCAGAAACCAATTTGTTTTTAGCGTGAAATCTGTTTTATCCTCTTACGAACCTCTCTTTTTGTGTTAGGCTGCAAGGCTTCTGTACATATCAATCAATACTTAGCTCGTAGACCATATACTATATACTATATACTATATATATATATTATCGGAACGTAGTTGGTAAGAACACATTCACACATCAGTGCACACACACACAAACACACTCACCGCTAACACACATGCATATCCATTATGACCGCATCGTAGACATATTTTAGACATAAAACCAACACAAGTAATAAGCATAAATGTATCTGTCGTAAAATTAAATTGCGCTTTTGGCACCCACACACGACTTCGACTTCGACTTCGATTTGCCTGGCCGCAGTTTCTAGCTAATCGAAAGCCAAGCGGAAGGTGGCAAGCTAGCAGGGTGGCCACTAGCCACTGGCTACGTCGAAATTGATGAGCATATTCTAAGCATAAGCGTTCAATTTATTGAATAATAAATCTATTTAATTTTAGCTCAATGCGCATTCGAATCTATCATGGCCATAAAACACTGGCCGGGCCTGGGCTGGTCCGTGGCTAATTAACGAACTTGGTCGGGGGCATATACATAATTCTTAAGTTGGGCTGGGAATAAGTGCCCGGGCAAAAAACAACATAAAAAGCACTCAAACCCAAGTATAATGTTTTGGTTTTCCTTCGTGTTATAAAACGAAAACATATTCTGGGCCAACCTTTTGTTTTTGCTTCGAGCCCCTCTCAAGTTTGACATGGCGAAAAAGTCATAAACACACAGAAGGGGCCGTAGATTATCATTATCGCCATTGAAGGCTTCCCGCAAAATGCACACCAAACAAAGTGATGAAAAGCAAATGTTGTTGGAAACAATGGATGCGTGAAATTGTTCGCACCCAGAGGGCCAGACGCTGCGCTTAGCCTACCTTTTCCCACCTTACTTTCCCTTGCCTTGCCTTGCCAATCCTTACCAGGTCGGGTCGAGTGCTAACTACATTAATGCATAATGTGGTGGCTGGGCAACGGGCAACGGGAAGTCTCCAGCCTCCGAGAAAAGGCGGGGATGCCAGCAACCGGAGAACGGGACTCGGACCCATCAGCCTAATGACTTGCGTACATCGGTCACAGCCTGGCCAAAGGACCTTGATAAGTGGCAAGTGCGTTTAGGGCCTTGGCCATAAACCGCTAAAGCTGGCAAAGGCTGTATAAGTGTTGACACGGCTTGAACTTGGCTTCCGGGTCCTGAGAATCCAATGCTCCTGCCGCAGGCTCTTTGCATCTTGATGCGGCTTAAACTTAAGTTCTATGCCGAAGGCTCCTCTATTAACAGGATGTATTCCAGAAATCAGGATAACATTGTGAGTTTTCCCTCAGGTATTTGTGTTTTAGTTTGAAAAGCACATTATTGAATCATGGGAGTACGTATACTTAATAAATTGAAATTAATCAGAAAATGATTTACTTAATTTTAAGCTTTCAGGTATACATTAAATCGACCTCCTATTCTAATCCTAATCCCATTCTGAATTCTGGGCTAAGGACAACGAAGGCGGCTTAGATTGCTGCTATTCCATGACTAGCACAAAGTAAGGTAAATATCCTAACTGCCATGGCAGCAGTAATCCACTTCGAAGGACCTTTATTAAGTCAATTTGGCTTGGAATTTCAATAATTTCTGCCGGAACATGCATCCAGAATGCATTCGGCATTGTGATTTTAATTAGACATCACATTTCTCGCATACCTTGGCCATTCTGGGGCCAGGTCTCGCCTAATTGGTTTTGCATTTGCAAATTAATTAAAATAAATACGGATAATAAGGGCCGCTTTTAGCCTTCGGTTCATAAGCCACAATAAATTACGAAAAAATCAAAAATAAATTATTCAAAGCGAACCGGTCACGTGTTGAATGTTCTCAAATTGCCCAACTAATCAGGTCCAAGGTCCGGCCTCCTGCTCATAAATCGTTTGTATTCTGGCCCGGGGCACTTTTTATTTGCTGCCTGACAAAGGAAAGAATGAAAAACATTACAGAAATTAGCCGAAAAGAATGGAAGGCAGTCGGGGCTGTGACGCCAGGGAAATATATATTCTGTGCGTACGAGAATACTGCTGTTCAAGCTCAAATTAAAGGCCAATAATACAGTAATAAAGTCGGCAGCCAGTCGACCTATGGACCACCTAAGCCAAGCCAGGCCAAATCGAATCGAATCACCCAGACACACGCACAAACCCACCTTGACAGGCCGCGCTTAAAAGTATTTATAAATTTTATATAATGTGCTCCCAGCGAGCGAGATACATCGCCATCCCCTGCGTGAGCTACAGATGCGGGCAATTAAATAGTTCTGGGGGAATGAAATAAATCAAATTTTGGAGCCATGAACTGTAAACTCTTCTGGACTTTGAAGTGATTCTCTAAATACTATAAGTTCTTTTAACAATAAATTATGTACTTTTTATTTATTACTTTTATTAAAATTACCCTTCGTATACTCGTATATAATTGTGATATGACTTCCTAATAGTTTTTAATATAATATTTTTATTAACATTTTTAACAAATCTCAAAGTGCTAAAACAACAGAATAGTCCAAAAAATCACATAACCCAACTTAAAATCGATCATAAAATATAATAATAATAACCTGAAAAGCACTACTTTCTTGCCCGCAACTGTCTATATGAGGCATGTACTATACATAAAGTACGACGGCTTGCCCTTTTTGGTGTCGAGCGGGAAGTAACCTCTATTATTTACCAATACAAACTAAGCTTTAAAAAGAAATGTAAAATTACCCGAAGCGCCAGCTGGTTTGATGGTATGGCCAGAGGGGGCAGTGCGAGCGGAGGGGCAGGCAGCAATCACCCTGCTGCCTTAGCTCCAGACAAACATGTGTATAATGTGTTTAATACAACAATTGTGTGGCTTTTTAGTACGCCGCGATGCGTGAGAGTGTGTGTATGAGTGCGGCTGTGTACCTGTGTGTGTGTATGTGACACACGCAACAGTTGTTTTTAGCGGGATGTTGCGAGCATAAAAGCTGTTTTTGCAGCAGCGACGCTTGCGCCTTGGAGCGATATGTTGCCTACTTTTCCGGGCAGGCCAGGTGATGCCGTTGCCGTGGCCGCTGTCGATGCCCGTTCATCCCCCTGGATTTCCTGGATTCCAAATCAGATGCCACCCTTATCGAAGAGCTTTTGGTATCTCAACATTTGGCGGGCATGCAACAAGCGTGTATCTGTATCCACGGCCGTATCTGTATCTGTATCCGTAACTCTGGCGCAACATATTTGCTCAGCAGCCTCAGCTGCGACTTCTGCTCAACATAACCATGGCCGCTCGGCTGAAGGCACGAGGATGCGGAACGAGCGGCACTCGACTTATGTACCATTTCGCACACTTGAGAGTTTTTAGTTCGGTTTTGGCAGAATTGATAGATACACGCAGCTCGCACCGCGCACAGCCAACGCCATATAGATATAGATACACACACACGTACACACCGATTTCGTCCCGCTTTCTGGCCAAAACCAAATCAACTGGCTTCTGCTTTAGCTTTGGCTTTGGCTTTGGCTTTGGCCCACATCGTGTCTATCTAGTGCCATCGGCCATCGGTTAAAGCCAGAAGCTGAACCACAATCACTGGCGAAGGCAGCAGCACGCTTCCAGTGGGAAAACATTTCGGCAGTGAATGCACGTTGATTTTTTTATCGGTCCGCAATTGTGATTTACTATATACAGCACGGCACGGGAAATTAACCACTGAACTGGAGTGAACTGAAACGGATATCGTAGGAAAAACGCTACTGTTTTCCCGGAGATTCAACGCAACTTGAGGTTTTGCCAGGCAGGTAAACCAAAAACACCCAAACACCCCACATCTTAAAGTTGTGTGTCCCGGCATTCAAAGTGCCAGCAAATACCCCGAAATTCGAGAATAAATATTGGTGTTTCATCGGAAAGGAGCTCAGGCCACTATACCGTCGGTGGTTCATAGTTCGTGGCTAATTGCTGGTGGCGAATGGAACTGACCGATAGAGCCACTTGGCCATGCCAAGCATAAGACCAAAGCAAATTCAATTACAATTACCCCAAAGAACAAAAAGGAGAAAAAATCCCATTGCTCATATAAGCTCATCAAGAAGTGCTCATGTGTACGTGCGATTGTGACTGTGTGTGACTGTGTGTGTGTGTTTGCGTGTGCCGGGGGCTCAATCTCAATCTCAATGGAGCTGGTGGATTCCGGATGGCGTGCAGGCTCCATCTGGAGTGTAAGCATTTGCCCGGGGCCTTGGCGAAAGGAAAGCCGTTAATGGAACGGCCAAAACAGCGATCCTTCGTCCTGTCAATTTGCCTGGGAGCCCAGCACTTCGCCAGCGCAATCCCACCTTCAATATCCCATATTTGGCTGCTCTTAAAGCAGCCAGCAGTGACTCACGGGCCAGCGATTTATTTGGGTCAGCTTATCTCACGATGCTATAAATGATTCATTGGCTTCCGTTTTTATTTTAGTCCAGCCACTCGTAATCCGCAATGTTCTGTGAACAATTGTTCGGGGACTAATTTGCTTTAATGATGTTTTAATTTCAGTCATTAAAAGAAGCGGAGTCGCCTCATGTGGTACGGAGTGCAGTTCATTTGAATGAGGAACTTGTGAAGAACTTTAAGAAAACTTTCAAAGATAAACAATATTTCTGAAATCCCTAAGTTGGTTTTCTAAAAACAAATACTTCGCAACTTAAGATAATTGAGTGCTGATGACGTTAAAAGACAAATTAAATTATTTAAAAGTATATCGTAAAAATCTTCTTTAGCTGGAGACATTAAACTAAAATGGATTATAAATACTTCCCCCTTTGTAAGTTTTCTTCGAAAAAGTATTGTTAGTCCTAGTAGGTCCTTTCTATTTCCAAAACCCTATCAAGTTTGTAATATTTTGATGAGTTTACAGATTAGTTTATTATGGAAAATAAGAAAAATCTTAAAACATCTTAATCTAAATGTTAAAAAAAGTTTTATTTTTATTATGACAAAACATATTTCTTAAGTGACTCAAATAAACAAAAATATTATTATGAACAATACATTATTTAATGCAAGTTGATAGCAGTTTAGGAGCCACAGACCTCTTAGTATACTAAGCGCCTTCCAAAAAGTATCTTTGAAGTCGATCTATCGCTTGTCACGCGCTCAGCTCCGTTAAAGAGAGTGCCCACCTTGGTTCGCTCTCCGTTCCATGCTCTCGCCGCTCTGATTTGTTTTCTTGAGGAGCTTGTGGCTCCCACTCTTGGCTCTCCGGAACTCTCGGCTACTCTCCGCGATTCTGT